TTACCCTTGCATCCCAGGAACAAAACCAACTAGATCATGGTGTATGATCATTTTAATGTACTGTTGAATTTGGTTTGCTAATATTTTGTTGAGGATTTTTGCATCTATGTTCATCAGGAATACTGGCCTGTAAGTTTCCTTTCTTAGAGTGTCCTCATCTGGCTTTGGTATAAAGGTAACATTGGCCTTGTAAAATAAATTTTGAAGTGTTTTCTATTCTACTTTTTGGAAGAATTTGATAAGGATTGCTAAAAAAAATTTTTTTTTCATGTTTGCTAGAACTCCTCAGTGAATTTGTCTGATCCTGGACTTCTCTCTTTTTTTTTTTTCTCCCCTAATTCCTGATTCGATCTCCTTACTAGTAATTGGTCTGTTCAAGTTTTCTATTCCTTCTTGAGTCAGTTGATTAATGGTATGTTTCTAGGAATTTATGTATTTCTTCTAAGTTATCCAATATGTTGGAGTATAATTATTCATAGTAGTTTCTTATAATCCTTCAGACTTCTGTATTATCAGGAGTCATGTCTCCAATTTCATTTCTAATTGTTTTATTTGAGTCTTTCTCTTTTTTCTTAATCTAGCTAAAATTTTGTCAACTTTTTTATCTTTAAAAAATAATTCTTTGTTTCATTGATCTTTTCTATTTTCTTTTTAGTCTCCATTTCATTTATTACTGCTGTGATCTTAGTCATTTCCTTCTACTAACTGGGTTTGGTTTGCTTTTCTGTTTAGTTCCTTAAGGTGTAAAGTTAGATTGTTTTTGATGATCTTTCTTTTTTCTTAAAGTAAGCATATATGGCTACACATTTTCCTCTTAGAACTGCTTTTGCTGCATAAATTTGGATATGTTGTGTTCCCATTTTTATGTGGTTCAAGATATTTTTAAAATTCCCTTTTGATTTCTTCTTTGACTCATTGGCTATTCAGAAAGATGTATTTTAACCTCCATATATTTGTGAATTTTCTAGTTTTCCTTCTGCTCTTAATTTTTAGTTTTCATACTTTTGCTGAAAATACATGCATAAAATAATTTCAATCTTTGTAAATTTGTTTAGATTTGTCCTGTGGCCAAACATATGATCTATCCTGGAGAATATTCTATATGTACTTGAGTAGAATGTATATTCTGCTACTACTGGATGATGTATTCTGTATATTTCCATTAGTGTATCTGGTCTAACAGAAAGTTGAAGTCTGTTGTTTCCTTATTGATTTTCTGACTGGATGATCTATCCATTGTTGAAAGTGAGATATGAAGTTCCCTACTATTAATGCATTACTGTTTACTTCTCCCTTCAGATCTGTTAATATTTACTTTATATATTTAGCTGCTCTGATGTACGTACATAAATTTTTACAGTTATTATATCCTCTTGATGAATTGACCCATTTACCATTATGTAATGACCTCTTTTGCCTCTTGTAACAGGTTTTGGCTTAAAGTCTATAATGTCTGATACAAATCTGTCTACCCCAGCTTTCTTTTGGTTTCCATTTGCATGTATACTGATGTTATCTTCAATCATTACACTTTCAGTCTATGTGTGTCCTTAACACTGAAATATATGTCTTATAAGCAGTATATATAATAGGGTCTTTTTTATTCTTATTCTTTTTTATCTCTTCAGCCACTCTTTTTCTTTTTTTACCCTGTGTCTTGTGACTGTAGAATTTAAGTCCATCTACATTAAAAGTAACTACTGATATTTCTGGGTTTATCATTGTCATTTTTGTAGCTGTTTTCTCACTGATTTTTGTTCATTTTTTTTCCCTTTCTTTCTCCCTTGCTCTTTTCCTTTGTGATTTGATCATTTTCTGTATTTGTTTGCTTAGATTCCTTTTACTTTATCTTCTGTGTGTCTACTTTAGGTTTTTGTTTTGTGGGTGCCATCTTAAGACGTACATAAAACATCTTATACAATCTGTTTTAGACCAATAATGACTAACTCAAACACATACCACAGCTCTATATTTTTACACCTTCCACCACATTTTGTTTTTGATGTCACAATTCACAACTTTTTAAATTGTGTATCCATTAATAAATCATTACAGTTATTTTTATACCTTTGTCTTTTAACCTTTATACATGAGCTGTAAGTGATTTACCCATCACCATTACAATATTAGAGTATTTAACTATATGTTTATCTTTATCCCAGTGAGTTTTATATTTTCATATAATTCCTATTAGTTATTAGTATCCTTGCATTTCAGCCTGAAGATCTCTCTTTAATATAAGGATGTCTAGTGGTGATGAACCCCTTTAGTTTTTGCTTGTCTGGAAAACTCCCTTTCTCTGCCAGTTCTGAAGGACAGCTCTTTTTGGTAGAGTACTCTTGGTTACCAGGTTTTTCTTTCTTTCAGCACTTGAATATTTCATTCTACCCACTCTACCCTGCAAGGTTTCTGCTAAAAAATCTCATTGTCTTATGGGGGTTCCCTTGTAAGTAGTAGTTTCCTTTTCTCTTGCTACTTTTAAGATTCTTTATCTGCTTTCAACTTCTATCATTTAATCATAGTATTTCCGAATGTTAGTCTACTTTGACTGATGTGATTAGGTTTTGGATCTTCCTGGATTTGGGTATCTGTTTATTTCTCCAGATTAGAAAGGTTTTTAGCCATTTTTTTTAACAAGTTTTCTTTCTCTTTATTTCTCTCTTCTCCTTCTAGGATTCTTATAATCTCCTTCTGGGATTCTTATAATATCAATGTCAGTCTATTTGATGGTGTCATATATATTTCTTAAGCTTTCTTTACTCTGTCATTCTTTTTTCTTCTCTAACTGGATGATTTCCACTGCCCTGTCTTTAAGTGCATTAATCGTTTCTTCTACTTGACCTAGTCTGCTGCTGAACCACACTATTAACATTTTTAGGTCTTTTTTGCCTGGTCTTTCCATACCAAACTTGGATATATAGTCATAAGGGGGTGCTCCTTCACCCATTTAGAAACTGTGTAGTTGCTATCATCTTCTAGGACTTATAAATATCTTCAAGTAAATTGGCTATCAGAGCAAGGTGATTCGGGTGTTTAAGCTTGGATGACAGCTGGAAAAGTGGGGACACTAGATATATAGACAAATTCTTTCAAAATAGATACAGGAAACTTTGTTTCATTGTTGGAGTTAGCCAGAGACCAATGTGGAGGAAGTGCTCACTGGTCCTCTTTGACTATGGGAGAATAACAGTCAGCACTTAGATGAACTAAGTAGAAGCTGGACCATCATGCTACAGCTTATAAAGTATGTAGCCACACCCCTTCCAGGGAAAGACTAGGAGATAAGCATTTTTCCCTGCTCCCTCTCTGCTGAGCCCTAGGGGTAAGTGGAGTGGGGGTGGGGGGAGGATAGCCATGGTAAGTACTCAGGGGCACACCTGTTGCTTCTTTGTTTGCCACCATACTGTGGGACTTGTAATGCAAACCCAGTTGTCTCTAAGAACTAGGATGTCCTAGAAGCCTGTCTCTCAGGCTGCAGCCACAAAAACCGGGTGCCTGACACGTATGCAAGCTCTTTTCCAGAAGGATATTGGTGACCTGATTTCGTAGTCAGAATGAGCAAAAAGGCAGAAGTTGGGGAAAGTGCCCACTGGCTCCTTTGGGCACCAGAGAGGAAAACTGAACCCAGATGCATGCAGTTTCAATGTGGGTATATTCTCAGTTGCCTAAATTACAGCAGTTATTCAGCTTTAGATTTCTCTCAAAGGAAATGGTTCTTGTGTAGCTACTCATTGGGTGTGTTCCAAGGGAGGAGGGAAATTCTGAAGCCTCTATTCACCACATCTTGGTTAAAAGCTTTCAGCAGTAAGTTGAACTCAAAAACACAATGAAGACTGTATTCTGTTTTACATTGATCATCAGGTACAGGAATTAACTCATGAGCAGTCGGATGGGTGAAGTGCACAGGGTATGGAGCTCACATACCAGGGCACTCCCTGGGCTCACTACTCTCCTAGCACCTCCACATCTTTACTAACCCACCAGCTCTCTGTCATACAATCTTGGTTTTCCTTTTTTTCCCTGTTTAATCAGATGTTTACTGACCTGAGAGATAAGCTTATCTCTTGGTTCTGTGAATTTCATTTTCTGTAAAACATTTTTCATTTCTGTAAAATAGTTTTTTACAGAATGTAAACATGATTTTTCTTAACCAAACAAAAAATCCAATACTTAGAGCTAAGCAAAAGCCTTAGCTCCTCATTTGTTTTCCTTTAGGAAGAAAAAAAGAAAAGAAAATAAACAATGTCAGTTAAAACAAAACTATGAATTCTCGTTGGTGGCTATTAAAGTGTGTTTCAGTTTATTTTTTGTGTTAATAGTTTTATAGTAAATACTGGTGGATTGACTCATCAGAATATGATACATAACACTAAATACTCAGTCATCCCAGTGTACATGAACTTAAAGGGGGCTTTAGAAATCTTTGCCTAGGGCACTTTAAGCTACCTTGTAACCTCTTTGAACCAATACAAAGACAGAAATACAGGCATCGTGAACCAGAGGAAAAAATTCCCATTAGTGTTGAAGGAATTTTTTTTCAGCATGGAAAAATATAATTCTAAGTAAGGAAGAGACATTTTCAGGTCTTTTATAAGTGACTCTAGCTTTCCTAAATGTGTTCGTTTTTTTTTTTTTTTTCTTTTGTCAAATGTATTTGAAGTTCATTTAATCCACTTGGGCTGCATTTTGAAAGTGGCTCATAGAAATTTAAGCAGACAGTACCCATTAACATTAATGGACTTCCTAAGGCAAAATTCCCTCATACTGGGCTTAATATTAACCTCAGTATGAGATTAGATTTTACTAAATATTTAGAGAACTCAATTGTTTAAAAATATCCCAAAAACAATTTCAATAAAGAATTCCAATTATCCGTAAAAAATTCAAGTAGCACAAATACTAGATTTGAAGACTATATGCATGGTTTTGTGAAGTCTCTCACCAGAACTGATTGGTATATTTTTACCAATGTGTTTCTTCTGCTTCAATGGGGTTTATAGGCACCGCACTTGTTGTCCAGTGGGACCACGTCCATCTCCAGGATAATTACAACCTGGGAAGCTTCACATTCCAGGCAACCCTCCTCATGGATGGACGCATCATCTTTGGATACAAAGAAGTAAGTAATATATTGATGATTTTCTTTCCCTTTGAACTTGACCTCTATCTTTTTCTCCAAGTGTCAAGAAAGAGACATTTTACAGTCATGAACCTCAGATAATTTTCTCATGTCTTGGTTTGTTTTGCTTCATACAAACATTTTTTTAATATACTAGGTTGCACTGATTGTTAATTCTTTGGGTTATGTTTTATATTCTGAATTATGATCGATGAATTTCATAAAATTATGGAACAATTATATCCTAGTGGTATTATAACAAAATACCTCTATGAAAAAATATTTCCAACTTGGAAATAATCTAAATCTTATTACTTATATCTATGTTTTGTTTGTTTTTGTTTGTCAATTTCTGTGACATGTTTTGGTTCTAATTCCAAAGGTATTATTATACATGAAAGCTTGTGTGGTTCAATGACCCAATACTGAAGCAATCAGGACCCATAATCCTTTGGCCAGTATTTATTTCAACCTGAGAGGAAAAATTAATTAGAGTTCTAAGTGACAGAAAGAATAATGGAATTCAAACGTATGGTTTGTTTGATTTTACCAAATTCACAAAGTAAAGAATGGAAATTTATTAAATTACGGCCTTAAATTTACAGAATGTCTAAATTAGAATAATAGTATGTTAAGTTTAAGAACTCTATTAACAATACAATTAAGGACTAATAGAGAACCTAAACTCTTAGGAAAGAAAACAAAGAATATTAGAATAAAATTCCAGGAACAGTAGTGTGGTATTTTAGGTAGTCACTCCTAAAAGGAGGAATTTTGACAATGTGAAGTAATGATGGGCAATTATTAACCCATTGGTTGATGGATATTTATAATAATACAGACTCAGTATCTTATTTGAAGAGTTATTTTTTCTTAGCAAATGAATCCCTGGCTATTAAAAGGACAATTTAACAATTACTCACTTTGGTCAAGTCTTCTGAAATACATCTTTTCTATAAAGTGAGGGATAGGTAGGGGTGCCTGGGTGACTCAGTCGGTTAAGCGTCCGACTTTGGCTCAGGTCACCATCTCACAGTTCATGGGTTCAAGCCCAGTGTCAGGCTCTGTGCTGACAGCTAGCTCAGAGCCTGGAGCCTGTTTAGGATTCTGTCTCCCTCTCTCTCTGACCCTTCCCTACTCATGTTGTCTCTCTCTCTCAAAATAAATAAAAATCATTAAAAAAAAGATGTCATATCATTTTAAAAATGTGAGGAATAGTTTTATATCAATTATATAAGTCAACTTTTGAAAATCTTATAATCATTTAAAATATTTCCACTCTTTCGAAGAATTCTTCCATGTGGAATATGATATAGGATCTGATCTGCTTGGTGCTTCTTTATCCAGAGCTACATTTTGATATCATAGTTTAACATATATATATATGTATTGTATATGTATTGGCCATTATATTTTTATATCACCTTCTCAGAAGCTGAGAGAATATTGTTCAAAGGGACTCCTTCATTTCTAGTTTTCATTATAATCTAGTGTCATTCTGGAACTGCAGAGTGACATTATGGGATGTTAGTTTTCAACTGTTTTAACCAGCGGTGGGAAAGTTTCTGGAGAGATGCCGAGTCAGTAAGTCTAGGGACTTAAATCTCACTAACTGTAGGCAATTTGAAGCAGAGATTTGTGTTTGTACTGTGGTCTCTGTCTAATCTTTATTATCAAAATTGCCATCTTTATTTATACTTTCTCAATGGGTGTCTCACATAGCAGAGTAGCAGTTCATTTTTCCTATTCCTTCTTTGCAGGGGGTTTGGTATTTTTTAAAATGCATTCTTTTCTTTATTTTAATCAAAGAAGAATTTTCCACTATGACTTTCCTGTTTCGTCATGGGTAATATTATACCGGTAGGCAATTTTAACACTTTCTTTGTATTCCCAGACTGTTATCCTACTGAATATTAGTCCTTCTGAACTCAGAGTTCTAAAGAAGTCATTACTTTATTATTTGCTTTGTTGTTCTTTCTCTGTCCTGGTTAAAAAGCAATTTTCTATTTCATATTCTACTTTATTTTTTTCTGATAATTATCATGCATTTCATTTTGGTGATGAGAATTTCTATTTGTAAAATTTGTCACAGTAAGGGTTCCCTTGCATCTGAGAGAAAGCTAGATGCTCCTTCACACTTCTAGAAAAACATTTACGACCACAATACCATAAAACAGTTGTTTGCACAATGTATTATCCTTGACAAAATGCTTTCCCATACTGTATAGTTTTCAATTTTTCAACAATGTCCTATATTCTTAATATTCATAAAGGCACTGACACATAAAAGTATTAATAAATCTGTGTGGCTTAATTGAGGAATTAGACCATACACAATTATCTTTATTTTATAGCTAAGCAGACTGAGTCAGAAAGGTTAAATGGCATGCTTATGGACACAGAACTAGTTAAGGACAAATTCAGGACTAAAGGCTCTAATTTGGTAATCTGAAAATACCTCAACATTGTTTCCTTTCCCAAGGAGATTATGTAAAGCAATTCACAAGTCTATTTCTCATCTGTTTTTTAGAAAATATTGGTTAATGATTGGTGTTTAAGAATCTTTTTTTCCTGACTCCAAAATATGACACAATCGCAATCTCACAAAGTTAATATTCTGAGTTAAGTTATATTGCTAACAAAATCATAAGGATATAATAAGAGTATAATTTTGTGTTCCTGTCCTGCTTAAATTTGCAGAATCAGCGTTATAGATAGGGAAGTAAATACAATTCTTTCTACAATAAGTTGCTACTAACTGGTTAAGGCCAACTTTGTTTTATTTTATTTTATTTTATTTATTCATTTCATTTCATGTGAATGAGAAGAAAATATCTGATTTCTACAGAAACTATCAATAGAGGATTTGTTTAAATCAGAGTGAAATTAACAATGTGTTAAATAAACTTATTGACATAAATTCCATCTATATTTCCCTCAAGTGATTTATGTCAGTAGCTAATTATGTTTCCTGTGTTAACTGTTAATGTGTCAACTGCCCATCCTAACCAGTCAGATGACCTTCAACTCCATCGTGTTCCACATATGGTCATTTTTCCAACATCATAATCTTTCACGTGCAAACTAGATCAATAATAGTCAACAAATGAGAACATACATTTGCACTTACAATAATCTTGCTTGTAATATGATTGAGAAATACTACTACTGTTCAAAATAAGAGTGAACACAGATTTGCTCATGGCATTCAGTGTTCCTTCACCAAAGTCACAGTGTTCTCTTAGCCATCCTGGTGAGAGAAATAGTAGAAGCATGGATTCCTTTGAATAAGTAAGTTATTTCTCCTGAAATTGTAACTCTGTATTCTTGAACCAAAGATTTACAATTCTGTTTTAAGTTATTGTTTACACAGTCTCCTATTGTTACACAGCTGTTTATTTTAGTTAACTTCAAAGAAATAGTTTACTTGGGATAAAGCCAAAGCACAAAAAACATATTGTCTTTTTCTTAATTTCCTGTAAGATTACCAGCTGTTCACTTTAATGCATTTTCCAATTTCACAGTATCCATTTGTTTCTTGTGCATAGATTTAATTACCTGATAAATTAACCATGGTGTCATCTATTGACTTAATGTATTAATAACAGTTCCTTTAAAGTTCATGGCTGATAACTTATATCTAGATTGCCTTTGGGTCTCTTTCTATCAGCTGTATTTTTTTTTCTTTATTTCTACATTCTTATTCACTTGTCATGTCTCCTCCCCCCCCTTTTCTATTAATTAATTATTTTTAAATTTACATCCAAATTAGTTAGCATCTAGTACAACAATGATTTCAGGAGTAGATTCCTTAATGCCCCTTACCCGTTTAGCCCATTCCCCCTCCCACAACCCCTCCAGCAAACCTCTGTTTGTTCTCCATATTTAAGAGTCTTTTACGTTTTGTCCTCTTCCGTGTTTTTATATTATTTTTGTTTCCCTTCCCTTATGTTCATCTGTTTTGTATCTTATATTCCTCATATGAATGAAGTCATGATATTTGTCTTTCTCTAATTTCACGTAGCATAAAACCTTCTAGTCCCATCCACGTAGTTGCAAATGGCAAGATTTCATTCTTTTTGATTGCTGAGTAGTACTCCACTGTGTGTGTGTGTGTGTGTGTGTGTGTGTGTGTGTGTGTGTGTGTGTGTGTGTATACCACATCTTTTTTATCCATTCATCCGTTGATCGGCATTTGGGCTCTTTCCATACTTTGGCTATTGTTGATGCTGCTGCTATAAACATTGGGGTGCATGTGCCCCTTCAAGACAGCACTCCTCTATCCCTTGGATAAATACCTGGCAGAGCAATTGCTGGGTTGTAGGGTAGTTCTATTTTTAATTTTTTGAGGAACCTCCATACTGTTTTCCAGAGTGGCTGCACCAATTTGCATTCCCACCAGCAGTGCAAAAGAGATCCTCTTTCTCTGCATCCTCGCCAACATCTGTTGTTGCTTGAGTTGTTAATGTTAGCCATTCTGACAGGTGTGAGGTGGTATCTCATTGTGGTTTTGATTTGTATTTCTTCACTGATGAGTAATGTTGGGCATTTTTTCATGTGTCTGTCAGCCATCTGGATTTCTTCTTTGGAGAAGTGTCTATTCAGTCATGTCTCCTTTTATGCTATATGTTTGATTGAATGTTAGGTGTGACTTACAAACTACTATAGAAATACATTGAGGTGGTGGATGATGTTTTCTTCCTCCAGTGAGCATTAACATTGTTTGTTTGACAGGTAGGATGGAACAGATTACTTTTTTTTTAATTGTCAAACATTTCTATTTTTTCCAAATTTTTATTTAAATTCTAGTTAATTAACATATACTCTAATATTGGTTTCAAGAATAGGATTTAGTGATTCATCGCGTACATATAATACACAGTGCTCAACACAAGTGCCCTCCTTAATCCCGAACAGATTAATACTGTCAGGACTAAGCTCTTTGAAAGTTGAGCACTAGTCCTCATAAAGACTGCTATATTTCGGGTTAGCACTTACTT